GTCTTCTCAAGTACCTTAATGAGAAGCAACACACATTTTTTTACAAAACTGAACGTCTGTTCAAGGTTGTCTTGAAAGTTCTGCCCAGTGGTGAATCCTTGGATGAGATTAAAGATGAATTGACTAAATTACTTGGAGTTGAGCCTGTTCAAGTAATCAAAATGAAAATGAAATCCCGTCCTGGCGATTCACAAAACGGGATTTCTAATGATTTTTATTTAGTTCACTTCAAGTCTAGTCTTAAGGCCTTGGGAAAAGCTAGTCTTATGCTCCATGTCCGAGTGAAGTGGGAACACTACAGGAAGACTGGAGGAAATTTCCAAAACCTCACCCAGTGCCGTAAGTGCCAGGGATAGGGTCACGGAATCAAAAATTGCTACATGCCAGCTAAATGCATGAATTGTGGTGATTCCTCTCACGCTAAGGACCACTGCATTGTGAAGGAAGATCCTAAGAAATTTAAATGTTCAAACTGTGGTGAAAACCACAAATCCAATTTTTGGGAATGCAAGACTCGCAAAGCGATCCTACAATCTCGTTCTAACCGTCAGGTAGGAAACGCTCCACGTTTCCGACGAGGTACAAATTCCTCTGCTGTTAACAACGGTCAGCGAGGAACAAATTCTACATTCGTACCCGTAGGTACAAATAGCACCCCTGCTTCAAATTTTTCATCTATATCTACTCCCCTCGCTGCTAACAATGTTCAGTGAGTAAATGGAGCTACCTATGCTGCTATTGCAGCGGGTAAAAATCAAAATACTAACCAAAGTAATTCTAACGGAAATTTTGACAATTTTGACTTAGGAAGCATTACTGCCTCTAAATGGAATTTTTACAGAAATCATTAATTGACATGATTTCTGATATGCTTAAATCTAACTCCATGTTTGATGCTATTCAAACTGGAGTAAAATTTGCAAACAATATTGTCATGACTTTAAAATTCAGCAATGGATTTTAAATCATTAAATATTTTAAATTGGAATGCTCGATCTCTTAAAGATAATGAAGACGAGCTATTTAACTTTTTGAGAGTTCATAACTTGCATATTGCCGTTATAACTGAAACGTTCCTTAAACCTGACCATAAGGTTAAGAAGGACACAAATTACTTGATTTATAGAAATGATCGTCTTGATGGACCCTGTGGTGGCGTTGCCATCATTATTCATAGACGAATCAAACATAAAATTCTTTCTTCATTTGAAACCAAAGTTTTTGAAACTTTGGGAGTTTCTGTTGAAACAAAATTTGGACAACTTACGTTTATAGCTGCTTATTTGCCATTCCAATGCGTAGGCCAGCAAAAGAATTTTCTCAAGGGTGACCTCCAGAAACTTACCCGTCATAGGTCTAAATTCTTCATTATTGGTGATTTTAATGCAAAACACCGCTCATGGAATAATGCTCAAAGCAATTCCAATGGTAATATTCTGTTTGATTTTGTTCTACAGGTTATACACTTTTCAATATCCAAACAACCCAATATGTTTTTCTTCAGCAAGAAATTCCTCAACTATTGATTTGGTCTTAACTGATTCATTTCAACATTGTAGTCAATTAGTTATCCATGCTGACTTCGGTTCTGATCACCTTCCAGTAACTTTTGAAATATCCCAAGAAATAATTTCTAATCCCAACAGCTCTACTTTCAATTACCATAGAGCTGATTGGGAGCAATATCGAACATTTATAGAATATAGCTCCTATCCAAACATTCCTTTGCAAACCAAAAATGATGTTAATTATGCTCTTGAATCTCTGACTACTTCTATAGTTAAAGCAAGAGCTGCTCCAGTAGCAAAATGCGAGTCTAAATACGATTCAATTATAATAGACGACGATGTTCAGCTCTTGATCCGTCTTAAAAATGTCCGTAGGAGGCAATATCAAAGAACACGCGATCCTGCCATGAAAGTTATCTGGCGGGATTTGCAAAAACAAATTAAAAAGCGATTCTCTGCCCTGAGGAACAAAACTTTTGAAAATAATGTTTCTAAATTAGACCCGAGTTCCAAACCCTTTTGGAAACTCACAAAAATTTTGAAAAAACCTCAAAAGCCAATTCCAGCGCTTAAAGAAGGTGGTAAAATATTGATTACAAATTTGGAAAAAGCTCAGAAACTTGCTTAGCAGTTCGAGGGTTCCCAAGATTTCAGTTTGGGTCTTACTAGTCGTATTGAGAATCAGGTTACTCGGGATTATCTGAATATTTTCTCTCGGGAACTGATTTGAACAACTTAAAAGATTCAAAATATGAAAGCTTCAAGTGATGATGGAATTTTCTATATCCTCATCAAAAAACTCCCAGAGAGTACCTTGTCTCTGTTTGATGTTTTAATTTGGCATACTTTCCTGATAAATGGAAAAATGCAAAAGGTTGTTCCAATTTTTAAGCCGGATAAAAATCCAGCTGAAGCTTCTAGCTACCGTCCAATAAGTTTGCTTTCTTCAATAAGTAAACTTTTTGAAAAGATAATTTTTTATAGAATGATGCTTCACATCAATACGAACTCAATTTTTGCAGATGAGCAGTTTGGTTTCGCCATGGGCATTCAACTACTCATCAACTCTTAAGAGTTACCAATTTAGTTCGTGCAAACAAATCTGAATGCTGCTCAACTCGAGTTGCTCTTCTAGACATAGAAAAAGCATTCGACAGTGTTTGGCATGAAGGTTTGATTGCTAAATTGAAAAGTTTAATTTTCCACTCTATATTATGAAATCAGTTCAAAATTATTTAACTAACAGAACTCTGCAGGAAAATTCCCTTTTAGAGCAGGAGTTTCTCAGGGTATCATTCTTGGGCCTATATTGTATAACATTTTCACTTCGGACCTCCCTGAATTGCCTCAGGTTTGCCACAAATCTTTGTTCGCCGATGACACAGGCATTTTCGCCAAAGGAAGAAGTTCTTTCTTGGATTAGTACTTGACCAAACATTAACTTTAAAAGATCACATTGAGGGCATTCAAGCCAAATGTAACAAATATATAAAATGTTTGTATCCTCTTATAAACAAGAAATCCAAACTTTGCCTGACGAATAAACTTTTAATATTTAAACAAGTTTTTAGACCGGCCATGCTTCACGCTGCGTCAATATAGTCTAGTTGTTGCACTACCAGGAAAAAAGCACTGCAAAGGATTCAGAACAAAGTTCTGAAGATGATTTTGAAGTTGTCTCCCTGGTACAGTACTACCAAGGTACATAGAATTTCCAATGTTGAGACTTTAGAACAAATGTCCAACAAAATAATTAACAATCCTCAATTGCAATTTTTTTTAATACTTAGATAAGATTTAGATTTAGTTTTTAGTTTTAAGATGTCAATTGTTAGAAAATCTGTTTAAAATAGTTGAAGATGCTAATTTCAAATAAAAGGCTAGAGTGATAATTTTAATACGATAGATGAGGAGATGAAAGTATAGAGTTGATAGTTCCGTTAGAGTAGGGCAGTGTGAAAATTGTATAGCGAGCAAGGGATAACTTTTAGGAAGGTACACATAGGTTTGATCATCTCTCTTTAACTCTCTCTCAAACTCCCCCGTTGGAGAGAGATGATGACGGGTATTCCCCTCCGCCACCACTGGCAAAAAGAGATGATCACCGACACGCTCAAGTACCGACGATATGTTTGAAACAGTTCTACCGATTTTTACCGCACTCAAGTTGTTATCTGAAGGAAGGCATCCAGTCGTAGGTTTGGAAATTGTAGCTATTGTTAAGTCTACCATGGAATATGCTCCTGTCATCGTCGACTTGACAATATCGAGGGGACACGGGTGTTTAAAATACTGATTTGCCGAGGCAGGACTAATTTAAAATCACTTAGATATATATGTATCATAACAATTAAGGCTGGTAAGTTATTGTAGCAGCTGAAGCACCTAGGTTAAAACGAAATGTAATTTATTTAGAATTTAGAAAGCACAATCCCTCTCAACTGAAGCTCAAAACCTTCTCCATCCGTGTGCGCGGTTCGGTGAAAATCTGTTTCCGCATACCCCTGGGGAGTGTGGTAAAGAGACATGATCAAACCGATTTGTACCTTCCTTGTCCCTTGCTCGCTTTCTACTCTATCGGAACTATCAACTCTATACTTTCATCTCCTCATCTATCGTATAAAAATGACCACTTTAGTCTGTTATTTGAGATTAGCATCTTCAACTATGTAAATAGTTAACTTCACGCAGAAGTAATACAAACAAAATAGTTAAAGTAATATGAGTCAATCTTAATGAGCTCTTCCTTCCCTCTAAGAGCGTATTAATAATTGTAAACTCTTGATTTGCTCATCTGTATTCATTCATATCTAGTAAAAAAAATGTCACACCTAATTAAGTATAAATAATGCATTCAGTTTAGCAAAGAAAACGTCACTCTTGCAGCTTGTCATCATCACTTACGAACAAAGCCATCTTCGAATGAAGCTATAAAATTTAACACATAAACACACAACTAGAGCCAGGCAATTTGGGGCTGATCATAGACTACACACAGTTTTTGAGAGAGATCCCCCATTTGAAGCTGTCTACGTACATAGTTTATGAACAGACCCTTTAGAAAACGCTAAGCAGTTATTGATCGAAGGCTTAGAAATCATCCATAACTGAAAATCCAGTCCTGTCAAATCAGAAATCAATCAGAATTCGCCAACAAAATAAAAAAAATCTGTTCACCAATTGTAGAAAACAATGTCCAAAACTCCGACAACTGGCGGATAGTTTTTTTTAGTTTGTCAAAGCAGATTTCACGATTACAACAGCATCAAACAAACCAAAAAAGACAAAAAATAATGCATCGAATAAGGACTTTGTTTGTACAAAAAAAAAAAATATGTGAAGGATGTTGATGGGGACGACTAGGTAGGTTGGTAAACAAAAACAGAGCGCACAACATCGTATATAATAAATGTGTCTAACGACAAATAGGGGTATGCATGGAGTTTGGAGGGCGGTGGGATTCTCCTCCTAAAAAAAAACAAGTTCGCTTACCACAAGTACTGGTCAATGGTTGATGTCTGTTCGATCTAAGATCTGGTATGCTTCTCTTTATATGAGACATCATTCCTATGATTGTAATAGGTGTTTGATTTTTAAGTTGATTGAACAATATGAGCTTCGAACATACTAGCAGAGACGTAGGAGCAGGAGCTTTTATCTTTTGCATTTTATTTTTGAGCAACTCATTCGAAACTGATAAAAACTCCTCACACAGAAAGCGCAATTTTGATGAGATATAATGATTGCGAAAAATAAAAAAAATAAACAGTGGAGTGCCTTACCTGATATAGAAAACTTTCGATCGTCATCGAAGTTAGTGCTTATTTGTCCCGAACTTCTATCATTTGGAATATCACATTTGGTCTGACTCGGTCGTTGATGCACCGTGTTTCTGTGGAATTAGAGCAGAAAGAGTTAGATCTGAAAACCAAATTGGACATTTGGGACCACTTACATCCTCCTAACATAGGATCGTGTATCGCTATCCCTATCCTGTGACCCGAGTCGCATATGTCGATGCCTTAACTCTATGCCCGCTTGCTCCTCCTGGATTTTGGGATTTTGTTTTGGGGAGGGAAAATAAAGGAAACCAAACATAGAGGAAAAATAATTGTGTTCAACAGCACGTTGCAGAAGTGCAGTGATAGCGGCTACATAGTGCTAGTGATCGGGGGAAACATGCAACTTATGAAAATAAAAAAAAGGATGACAACGTAATGGAATTGTTTTGCTAGGAAATTCTTCTACTTAGCTACGGTAAATTTCTATGCAATAATGCAAATTGAAGTTTAATTATGCGCCTTTTGACTTCATAAAAGTAAGATGCATCTAATCCCTCCCCTTGGCTAGTTTTTGCACCTTGTTGCTGGTGGGCGGGCTTAATTTCATGCTTTATAGTGGAGTGTTGGAGACGGTAGGTTTATGACCGGCGTTGCTGGCTCATGCCGCAATAGAATGGCACCATGGGCAGGCGATGGGGATTACTAAGCTTCCCTTCTCTGATAAACCACTGCATGAGAAAACCAAAGATCTACTCTAGCAGTGATAGTATCACACTTGTTACTCCTTTGTTTGAGAGCCGCGTTGTAGTACGCTTACGTATAGGTATTGACGTTGGGTGCGATACTGGCGGGTTTTTTTTTCCGCAAATCACTCTTATTTATTTTTACGTAGATAGATTTATTTGGGTTTGCAAGGGAATTATACTATTGAAATATTTCAGAAAGTGCCCAACAGTGCTCCTTCTATTTGCGTGACAAGCTTTCATTGTTGTTTTCATTGAAGTATTACTCAGGGAATAATGTTAAACACCATTTGTGTACATGGTATTGTAACTAATCTTATATGTGCTTCATTTTGATTTGGGATAAGTGTTTGAACTATGGCTCGGGATTTCTACTGTGGCGTGCTTCTATTATGACATACCCATACGAATTTTTGTGGTACGACATAGTGGAAGCGTGTGAGCATAGTTGGAGCATATACCCTATATAATTTAAAAATCAGCTAGGAAACTAACTTCAAAATGAAGCATTTTAGTCACATGAAGGTGTTATCTGGGTCGAACTAAGATATAATAAATAGGTATAGGCTTAAATCAAAAGTACTTGAAACACGTTTAATTTTAGATTACAAGCACAAGTGCAGGTACTTAAGAAAGCATGGGTATTGATTAGGTGAATTAGAGCTTTTAATAATTTATTAAATTAGACTAATGAGATATCATAATCATCAAATGAACTTAAATAAGAAACTTCAGAAAGTCTAATGACATTAAATAGATTATCACACGAATTAGGATGCCCCCCGGTATAGATAGGGGAAATGTGGACTTCGGAAATACCTTAACCTATTATCGTCAGGGGGTAACCAAAGTCCTAGAGCACTCAAATTTGGCCAATAGATGCTCTGAAACACAATGTATCCACATGCCAACATTTACATTGACGTTGTTTACCCCCTGACGATAATACGTTAAGATATTAATAAAAAAAGTACGATGCGTGGTTTTTTAAGGTGACCTCAGACCCTGATACGACCTTCTCCGATTTGTATGAAATTTTGCATAATTGTTTGTTAATTAATAATTGTTAATAATTAGTCTGGTAAAAACCTTAAGCTCCAGCAAAGTTGTACCAAAAAAAAATATAAAAGGGTGGGCTTATAGCCCGATTGACGACATAAAACTTTGAAACTTTATGGAAATTCGATGTCTGAAATACCGAGGTTTAAGTGATTTGCTTTACTAAAATTTGCAGTTTTATAAATCTTTTTTACGAAGATAGGTACGTTATGATTAATGAGATCCAAATTATTGGAAATTATATTGCATAGTCTATCCAAACTATGCTTTAAGATGGAGATGAAGATCTAACCAGATAAATCAACGCACCAAAATTCGAATTTTCGGTTTTAAACGTGATATCTGTGTGGTTTTTTTTCCCGTGTCGTGGACATTTACCACTGCGATCAGTGTTTTGATCTATTGTGGTGTATCCTCTTTTTACTATTTGCCGTGTATTTTGATGATCAACCGCTATGTAGAGTGATCTTCATCATTGATCATCGGCATTATCCCAATATACTGTATACTGGTCCAAATTTCTCCAGGTACGGTGAGTCCTTTGTCAAGAAATCTGCATCGTTTATTAAATAGTGCAGCAATCACACAATAAATGTTCAGAGCTTTTGCTCTCCAAATTACAAAAGCGACATCTATCGTCGCTAAGCTTTTCAATTTTTTTAAAATGATATTTACTAGGACAATGTAGTGTTATTAATCTAGGGTAGGTGCTTAAATCTTTTTTGGAACGATTGAGTAACCTTTGCGTACTCAAAATGTTGGGCTTAATGAATAGTTTAGATTGCCGGGCTATTGAGGTATTATTCCAATTTGATTGTACCTTTTTTCCAGTTCTTTAATTCCTTTTTCAGATTAGAAAGCGATACACCAATAAACGGTTCGGAACCAATAAATTCTAGATAGAGCTGGAATTAGGCCGTAACAGCTTTTGTAAACAATGACTTCTATCGATGATTTCTAGGAACTCAAGGCACAACATAACCATCGGATAGGGGAAGTCTTTTCCTACCTGATGAGGATGTTGATTTGCGTGGGCGAGCTTTGAATTTCTAGAAATCATTGATAGAAGTCATTGTTTACAAAAGCTGTTAGGCCCTAATTCCAGCTCTATCTAGAATTGCTGGGATGAGCCAAGCTTTGCTAATTGATCAGCTTTTTCATAATCTTCAATGCCGCAATGACCAGGAACCCTATATAGATTTACAGGACACTTTCTGAAGTTAATTATTGCATTCCCACAACAACTTTGAAGTGTAGATCATTGATTTAAGGGCATTCAATGCTGCTTGACTGCTTTCTTTTTAAACATATTTCTACACATTCTAGAATGGCAAATATCTCTGTTGGCCATTTACCCATTGCTACAGAACAGTTAATTCCGGGACCTGTTATTCCTGCCCCTACCCTGTTATCCTGTTTTGAGCCATCCTTGTAGAATATTATAGACCCAGGACGAATCAACGGCCTTCCCGTCTCCCAGTCGTTGCGTGTTGTATTAAGTTCATTGAATAGATGGTTGAATTCATGTGTTTTTGCCATAAAATCTTCATTCTTTAATATAAGTGGACTTAATTGAATCTCTGTCAAAATGCTCATAAAAGAGCTCTTTTGTTCGTCTGATTCTGATAGTATTCTTCATTACATACAGTTGAATGAATTGATGTAAAAGAAGAAGATTAAGCAAAGCTTCTAAGGCTTTAGATGGAGTACTGCGCATTGCTCCAGTTATGGAGGTAGTGGCCAACCTTTTTCAAGTCTTATTGAGCTGTTTTTTGCTCGGAGTTTAGCCACCAAACTAGTAATGCATAAATTATTCTTGGTTTTACTATATTCGAATAAATCCAATGTAACATTTTAGGTTTGAGTCCCCATTTCTTACCAAACGTCCTTTTACTAATCCAAAGAGCATTGGTTGCTTTTGTTATTACTTTTTCTAAATGTACATTTCAAAACAGTTTACTATCTAAAGCTACTCCTAAGTATTTAGCTTGCGAAGAATATTTTAGTTCTGTTCCTTCCAAACAATGTTTTTAAAATAAGACTTTTCGTCTTTTGTAAAGGGTACAATCGTTGTTTTTGAAGGATTTATTTTCAATCCTTCATTTTTGCACCACAGTGTAGTTACATTTAATGCCGTCTGCATTCTGCTTGAAATGATTTCATCACATTTTCCGCAGAATATTATCACTATATCATCCGCAAACCCAATAATTTCAAACCCTAGCGATTCAAGACTAATAAGAAGCTCATCTACTACTAGCGATCATAGAAGAGGAGAAAGAACACCTCCTTGAGAACAGCCTTTAGCAGCTGTTACCTTTATGGTTTACTCTCCAAGATTTAATGATATTTCACGATTCGATAACATTTCTACTATCCAATGTATTACACTTTCATTAAACCCACGTTTTTTCATGGCAATTTCCATTGCTTTAAAAGATGCATTATCAAATACAACCGCAATATCAAGAAAGGCAGCATCCTTTGATATGAAGGATTTTTCGATTTTTGAGACAAGAGTGTGTAATCCTGTAATTGTTGTGTTGTTAATATTTACTCCGTTTATTCTATTAATTAAAGGGATAAGTGTCTTCGTAGAAGTTGTCGAAAATTGGAAAGAAGAGTGAAGAAACAACGAAAGTTGGTAAGGTCGTTTTAAATTATTGCTCATATTTATACAAACATTGCTTATACTAAATACGCGCCAGAATTTAATTCTGGAAGTGTGTATATTGAGAAGTGCAAATATTATTCAAAGAAGACATTAGCGCTTGTTGTATTATATTCGCTCCCTGCGGCGCACGGAGTGTACCGCTCATTGTGTGGATCGCTTTCTCACAGATTAGTTGGTAAAGAGTGTGCGAAGTAAATGGGAGAACCACACACTCTTTGTCGAGTGTTGTGAGATGCATCCACAAAGTTGATTTGCTAACGCTCTGAGGTGCTTTCCAGTCCTGCATGTATTCAATTGATATATCGATGTGTTCATGCGGATCTTATTGTATATGAAGGCGACCTCAGAATGTACGTGTATTTGTATCGAAATGGGTCGCTGGATGTACAGTAGTATCTTCCATCGCCAGGGCTAAAACTGTTTTCATCTATGTATAAAAATAGGTGCAAACATTTCTCTTCCGTGAAACCACTGCTGGCCTGTGGGAAATGGATTGTACACACACACAGACACACACATTTCAACAACTTGGTGCAAACGGAGTTTCTTCGACTCATTTAGCTAAACAACATATTTTTAGAATTATGGAATTATTGGATGCTATAATGATATTCTGTAAGTTACAAGAAAAAGGTTGGAAAGTATACTTTTGACACATACAACTTGTCAATTTCTCTTGCAGAGTGTCAAAATCAGTGATTTTAAGAAAGAAAGAATCAAAATTTTATAAAAAATGATGATCTACCAATTTGAACTACATTTGCCAGCAACACTGACTGGGTGTATCCT